TTAAGCATTTATCTATAGATGCCACCAAATTATAAAAATATTTGAGAAACAATTATAAAAAAAAAAAATTAGATTTTTTTTTTAATGACAGAACAAATTGATTTAAAGGACTTGATTGAAAATATATATATATATATATATATATATATATATATATATATATATATATATATATATATATCAACATTTTATATACCATTCTTTTATTGATATTTAAATTGGCTGCAGGATGCTCAAAAGATTGCCAGTTTTAAACCTTAACTGATTGAATATCTTAGAAATAAAAAGGTAATTATCAGCTGTTATCCAAAAGGAAACTACTTCTTATTTCATATGGAAAGAATACATAGCTAACCATTAGAAAATTGTGTTTATAAATGATCAAGAACAACACAGTTACTATTAGCAACCAGTATAATTCAGCTTTTCATCACTTTTGAAGAAATAAAAGGTTCTGTGCTTCTAATGGATAGCCACATTATAGAATTTTATAGAATCATTAAACTAATATAAACTTGGAAAATATCTATGCATACTTGCTATTGGTATCAAATGACAATTGGAAAAAAATCTTACATTTTGCTGATGCGTTTCGTCTTCCGACTTTTTCAAGGCAAAAATGAAATCGAAATATTTTTGTTGTTATAGTTACATTAAAAATCCAAATTTAAAAAGATAGACAGAAAAGTCGGAAGACGAAACACATCGGCAAAATGTAAGATTTTTTTCCAATTGTCATTTGATACCAATCTGTCTTGTCCACAGAATTTATCTGGGAATTTAACTATACTTGCTATTCCATATTCAAAATAAATGCTCTTATGTAGTTAAAGTAGCGAGTAGGAATATTATTTAAGAGATAGTATTTGATAATTTTTCTCAAATAGCCTCTAACAACTAAGTTCAGCTCTAAGCCAGAGATTGGGTGAAGGCAAACAACTGAAATCTCATAAACAGCTGCTTTGGGTAGAGGGAGCTTGACAGCCCAGGAAGGCAGTCCATCCAAAGGAAGGAAAACTCCGATTTAAAACTTCCACTACTTTGCAGTCATATCTAAACATGGAAAAGGTTATGGAAGTAAATCCAGACAGAAAACCTAGAGTAGAACCTTGAAGATGGTTGGCTATCAACACTGACAACTTTCTGACAACTCCTGCAGCCAAGCCATCCACAAATGTAATGCCCTGTATTCATTACATCCTGGAGGGGTCACTCCAGTCTCACTACCAAAAGACTGAATTTTGACCAAGCAGGGCACTACCATTACTTTGCAAGAAAAACAGACTCCTACTATTTGATAATTACTGTTATAATAAATTAAAATTTTTAGATTAAATCTTTTAAAAGATCTTTTGAAAATCTTCAGTAGAAAAAAATAAACAAATAAATAAAAATAAAGTCAGACATTAGGGATTGGTGCCTATTTCTCAAGAAATAGGAAATTGCTGAAGGGCGATTAATATATATTTTACGATTGTCAACAGAAAAGACATTTTGTGCAAAAGTAAAAAAACCAAAAGCAAGCTGTAAACATCTTGAGTCATAAGAACGTGATCTTACATAGATGAAGATATTAGTGTGAATACAAAAAATGATTACCAAAACATGAATTTAAAATGAAAATGATTTACTTAAATAAAAAACAAAAAAAGATTACAAAGTATGAAAGACGATATGAATTACAAATATGAAAAATTTTGATAGTAAAATTTGTTTGAAAAGTAATTTTGCTTGTGGGTATAAAATAAATGCTTAAAGGTAATGAATATCAAAACTGAAGTGAATAGCAATTTGAGAACACAAGATTACATTTAATTTTGTATTGTATCCAACCATTAAATCATTTGTTGTGAAATTACATTTTTAACAGGTACCATTTCCATTACATTAGGTATTAATAAATCTTAAAACAAATTATTCACAAAAGGTAATTGTTATGGTCCGGTTCCTTGTACCACGGTGATAGTCCAAGGTAGAGCCAATAAAAAAGAACTCGAACACGTATATGGAATAACACATATTTTACAAACAGGAATATATACAGAGAAGTAGAAAGTGTTAGTACGAACAATCAGGTTTAGTAGTAATTGTCTGAACGCGACTCTGTTTCGGACTGCCTCTGACTCGACTGACTGACTGACTGACTCGCTCGCTCTGACTGACAGACTCCTGACGGACTTCACTCCAGACTTCAGACTGAACTCCTTGCTTCCTCTCGAGGCGCAGTATTTATTACGTATGGAATAGTCCATTATGTTATTATGGGTAAGGTCCCATAACAGTAATGTTATCTACAGTTCTTAGAAATCTGTCTAAAGCCCGATCATTTTTACAAGATTTTCACTGTCACAATATCACATAAGGCTACAAACATAGTCATTAATCTATTTTACAAATAACATACATTGTACATTGATCATTCAAAAAAAGTGTAATTTACAATGTTTAGATCATTCTATATAAATGTAAAAGTAATTATAAATTTCATATTTTATTATTGTTTAATTCTGCCTAAAGATAAACAAAGGATGAGTCAGTGAAAGTTCACAATCCCTGAATTAAAATTCTGAAAATCAGAAAACTTTTCACGGTGGTTATCTGTACGCCAAAGTTCAAATTTCACTCCCAAATTTGACCCTACACAACACATGCTTAATCTACTATTGAGTTAGTTGTCGGACATGTCTTTTTTGCTCACTGATATTTGTGATTTGATGATTGTGAAAATGTCAACAAGAGCCTCAGATATCCTTAGAGATAATGGAGAGAAGCAGGAGAGGAAGTAGCCATCATTATCCAGACATCAGAAAGTAGAACTGCTTTAGAAGCTTGATCATAATGTAGATGTACTATGTGTGACATCTCAACTTACTGATATGACTTAAAAAAACAGAAAGATAGAATTGCTGAAGTTTTACATTGACAATTATTTACACTGTTTGCATTCAGATTACTGTCCTCCTCTTTTTCGTTGTTATCAAGTTTCGGCCCTAGTGCCCTCCGGCCTTCATCAGCTGTATATTGATTTGAGTAAACTACAGGGAATTCTAGGTTTAGACCATTCTCATTCCACTGCCCAGATCTATGGATTTTTAGTACTGCTCAGTTATTGCTTACCTGTTTCCATGGTGTTCAAGTACAAACGACCCAATGATTGAATTCACAATTACTGTGTCACTAATTTCACAACCCAACACTTTAATCCAATAGGTTATTGTCTCTTGAATAGTGTAAATCAGGGGTTGACAACCTGCGGCACGTGTGCCACATGTGACATGCCAAGCAATCTCCAATGGCATGCAGCTGCAAATGACATCACGAAATCTGAACCAATATCTACTACAACACTTAGATCTTTAGCGGTTTTAATATATACTAAAATATATATACTATATATTACTATATAAAATATATTGTAGAACAGGTATATTGACTTTGACTTGTATAAAAATACATATATTGTTGGCAAACTGAATGATTTTAAAACCCTAAGTTGGCACATAGTTAGCAAAAGGTTACCAATCCCTGATAATTCCTCATCCCAAATATTCAGACACAAATTGACAATTATAGCCTAAAACTAATGACATGGAAAGTGGTGGCAACATATGTCAAAAAATAAAGATCTTGATAGTGTACTGATTGAGCTGGTTAGACAATAGAATTCATGTCACTGAATGTATGTATACAAGTGCTGAGAATATTTTTAAACTTGTTTATGCTTGACATTGTAATAAATGTTTTTAGAAATAAAATAGGCTACTAATTTTATGATTTCTCTTTGCCTACTTCAATCACCACTTTATTACGATATAAATAAACTAATATTATTTATAGCTTTTATTATCCCACTCAGTGTAAATATGAATATGGTTCACTGCAAAATATTAAAGTACTTGATATGTCATAAATATTGTACTGCAGCAGTGCAGCACTTGATGTCTTCAAAAGATTTGGGGTTTTGTACTAGCTAATTCTAGCACATATAGTCAAATTCTAAAATGTGTTTAGTCCAAAGGATTTTTTGGTAAGAGACTGTATATTGTAATAAGAATTTCAACATTTTAATGATATTAACATCATCAAGTGATTTCCTAAAATGATGCCTAGAATTCAATGCAAGTAAAAAAAAAAAAAAATCAGTTGGTAGCAAGGTAAGATATATAACTTCTGAGGCATAACTATTTATCCTGACAATTTAAACATGCCATGGAAAACTGACATAAGGAAAGTGGATTGATTAGGGACCAAAAGGACAAAAAATTGTGATTTTAGGTTTTAGGAACATGTGCTTCAAACAGGCAACCATATGTGAACTTTGAAGTGTCTATTTGTACATAAGGAACAGGATTTACTCAGTTTTCAGAATGGCAAAACAATTTTAAATTATTACAAAATGCAAAATATTTTTATGTTAACCGATTAAAATGAAAGCAAAATTAAATATCTTGGTATCATTCAGAAATTAGATGTATTCTTTAATTATATAAAGTTATCCAATATCTTTTTATAAATATGATAAACTTCCTTCCTTTTATGAGCACAGAAATAATTAAAATTGATATATATTAAAACCAATGTTAAAACAAATAAATATTTCACTTAGAATGTATGATTTTAATTTCAGAAATACCATGATTGCACTTTAAGTCAATTTTTATAACGAGAAAATATAACTTCATGGTTTTATTTATTTCATTTATAACTTCCCAAATATTTTAGAACATTTTTCATCTTTTAACTATTTCAAAACAGGATGACAAAACAGTTTTCCATTATTTTATAAAAACAATCCACAAAAGTGTAAAATCTGTATTTCGTAAATAAAAGAATCAAGTTGTCCATAATTTGTTGTTTTTATGACAGCAAAAGCATTTAATATATATATATATATATATATATATATATATATATATATATATATATATATATATATAAAGAATTTACTGATGGAAACATGGCATTTTTATAGATGCAAACATAAATCATAAGTTACTTACCAAGTTGACTAATATTATCGGCACTGCCAAATCTATTCTTTATGAGATGAGCAAATTCACGTGGCTTTGATACTAATGTCCTGGAAAAAAAAAAGTTTACTTCATATTGAAGTAAGTTTGGCTTCTTTTTAAAAAAGAAAACTTTTACAATAAAATACAATGTAAGAAAATAATAAAGAAGTCTCCAATGAAAGCATCAATAAAATAAATGCAAAAAACCTTTTTTTTCGGGTATTTTCCTTTAAACATTATATTTCTATTATTTGGATACTTTTCCCCTTTTTTGAAAGCATCTTTGTCTGCATTGGTAAAAGAAGAACAAGTAAATTTTGATGTAAATGGATACAAAAATGAAAACCAGAAAAATCTAATTAATGCAATAATTAGTGATATATATATATATATATATATATAAATAAATAAAAACAAAAAAAAATCTTTAAATATGTCTGTTTTTATACTGTTAATTAAATTTTGTACACTGGCATGAAAATCTTTCAGGCCATCTTGCTAAATTTCTTTTGTTAATTTTATCCCAAAATTGGGAGTGATTAGCAGTTACGATTTTCTCAGTACATTTTATGATCTTTGGGGGCCAGGAAATGAATGGATGCCTTTTCATTAATGCTATATGGTGAATGATAGAACAGCTTAAGCAAAGTGATGTTGAAAAAAAAAATGACATACAAAAAATACTGGGCCACCAGCAATTTTTTTTACCTTTCAGTTCTTTTCTTAAGTTAAAAAGGAGGATTGTTTTTGCAAAAAGTGCACTTTATTATTACAGAAAATACAAAATATCAAAGTGTGGAGTTAGTAATTAGTATTGTTGGTTATGGCTCAAATAGTTACCTCAATTCAAAGTGGTATTGGATGGAACAAGTTCTAGATTTTCTCATTGGGAATTTTTCCCATTCTTCTTGGTAGTAATCCAAAAGTGCTTGGAGATTGTGTGTTTTTTGTTGGAGCACTTGTTTCTTCAGTTTCCATCATAAAAGTTCAATTAAATTGAGATTAGGACCTTGTGCTGACCAAACTTCCAAAAATTGAACATTTTCATCTGCAAGAAACCTTTTTGTTGCACATGATGTTAGGCAAGGATCAAATCATGCTGAAGAAAATCCTCCCTCTTTGCAGTTAGGCAGATTATTAGACCATTATCATACTTATTATAAAACCTAGGCTGTGTGTGTGCGTGTGTGTTCGTTTATATATTGGATTGGATTTCCTACATTTTTCAACCGATTTCAACAAAACTTCACAGGACTACGTAAAATTACCTTGCGGTGGTTCTGACAGCACCAAAAATTGGAAAAACACAATTGTTTTTGCACAAAATCAATTTGAAAACACGATTAAGAGGCATCGTTGTCGTGAGAATGAAGGGGGGACAACTCATATCGAGTTATACATATTATAAAACTCAGGTTGTTTGTGTGTGTGTGTGTGTGTGTTCGTTTATATATGGGATCGGATTGCCTACATTTTTCAACCGATTTCAACAAAACTTCACCTTTTTTTGGCAGGTAGTGTTTTTTATTGTCTTGCACACTTTTTTCTTTATTTTTACATTCAGAATGCTTTAAAATTCCATTTACAAGACAATTGTTTATAATAAAATTCTATTCAATCGGTAGACTCATAACGATTGAATACAATGTTTTTGTTTGAGTTTGACCAATTCGTAAAAAAAAAAGAAAAACAAACAAAAAAACTAATTATGACATGCGTGTCCATCAACCTTAAACAATAATCTTTGTCAATTTTATTTTTCAGTCTTTATGATGGTCGATACTTGATCTATCTCTTACTGTTACATCCCCAGGCAATGCCGGGCTCTACTGCTAGTAAACTAATATAGTTTTTGCTGTTTAGGTTTCCATCAACTTTTACTAATTTTCTTCTATCATTGATTTTGATGTAAGCCCACATCATTATGTGTTCACTACATTTTACCATTTTTGTGATATATCTTGCATTGTTTTTTTCCATCCACTGGTCTTCTTACACATTCTCTGCCATTAAAATGTAACTATTTTACATTCATCACTAAAAATTACTTTTTGCTACTTTCCAGCATCCTATGTTAAATGTTCTTTGGACCACTTCAAATTTCTATCCTGAAGGTTTTTGTTTTCTGTCCATCCAAGTTGATTTTTTTTCATAATGCTCTGCATACTGTATCAAATGAAACCTCACTATTAAGACTACATTCACTCCTTACTTGTCTGGCTGCTAATATTAGATTGCCTGCTAAGACTCTCACAATCTTGCTTTCATCTCTTCCAGTTTTCTTTGCACTTAAAACATTTCCAGTAGTAGAAAACATCTTTTAAATGGTTTGAAGACTGTTTCTGGAAATTCCCAACTGCCTGGCTATTGCTCATTGAGTCGTCTTCCCATTCAAAAATCACAACTTTCATCTTTATTTCAACAGAAATTTTTAGTTATGATTAGTGTAAGAACATGCTAATGTTCAACTGCAATGACTTATCAAGACACCTTATACTCATGTTAATAAAACTGAATAATTCCCACTAACAAATTTGCATATTATCATGACTATCATTGACCCAATAATTTTGCATGGTCTTTTTTAAGTTTCAAGTAGTGTATATTATATTACACGGCACCTATGAAAATGCAGCAACTTATTTTCTAATCCTCACCGTTCACAGACACTACTGATAAAAACAAAACAATCTTAACTTCTAACTAAAATAAAAGGTGTATAATTATTTTATGGAGTTTGCCTCAAACTTTTGTATGCCAGTGTATAAGAAAATTCCTTTAACATTTAATAATGCAATATCTGTGAATATATGTATGATTTGGATTCTATAAGAAACTCTTAAATGTTTATCCAAAAGTAAGAATACTTTCATTAACATATAATTATTTACTGAAAAGCTTAAAAATATTATCAAAATGATTTGTTCGTAAAGTAATATTAACTCTTACAAAAGGTGATAAGGTTCAGTCACTTGGCTCAGATTAATACACAGAAAAGAGGAAATTCCTCTATCAAGGGTCACAAAAATATAAGGTCAATAGAATGAATTAAACATACTTGATACTCAAATTCCCACTAGAAATATGCCCTTTACAAAGTGTGTCACATTAAAATGCCCTAATGTAGTGTAGTTAACCTTTTGCCTATGAAGATAAATATAAAACATTACCACAAATAACAGCTCTGATGGTAACAGAGAAAAATATTTGTCATTTATATAAAAACTAACTAACCGCCAATCCAAAAAATTGAAATGATAGGATTATATACACATAGATCAGTATATGTCCACCCTCAACCAGATTAAAGTATGTGTATCCTCTGTCTCAGATCAAAGTGCTTTCTTTATAGATAAGAACAAGTATTATAATAAAAGGGAGCAAGTCTAATCCTTTAAAATACTTAATTGCTGTTGTCAATAAACCAGCAATATTTAAAATTTGTGTTAAAACGGTAGTATATGTCCTTATGAAAAAAAATGTTTTAAGGATTTTCTTAGTTTTAATTCATGAGTAAGGACTTTGCAAATATAGGATTTCAGAAGAGATATTATGGATGTCAAAAAGGTTTAAGCTATTCAGACGTGAATTCCAATAGAATTAAAAAAGGTTTTCTGGCTTTCCTTTGCCCCAGATGGTAACATCAATAAATATCCAAAGAAAGAAAGATAGAAACAAACAATAATCAATAGTCATTAAATGAATGATAATTAATTGTAATGTAAAAACAGAACAAAATAGCCCTCCCCCCCAAAAAATCTCGTTTTCTAAACAAAACAGAGAACCGATTGATAATTATCCATTTAAAATTTGAAACTAACATTTTTTTAAATAAATTATTAAATGTGTGTCTGTGCTTATATATATATATATATAAGTAATGGATTTTTTTTTAATTTATTAATCTGACATACTTTGTCACTTTAAATATTATTTTGGTGGATACCTATATTTGAGCTGACACTGTTTATTAAACACTATATTCATTTACTTTCATATACTGGACTGAATATTCTTATTAAAGAAAATATGTGCTCTCTGACAGAATTCAAACCTGTTTCCCCCTTTGCAAGAGAAACCATTGTTAGATCTGATGTGCTCTACACCATTTCAACCATGTTGTGCTTCATAAAGCACTATTCGGCTTGATTGGTGACAATATTTATCCTTTCAGGATACTTTTCAAGTTTGGAAAACAGCCAAAAATCACTAAGTCTGGTGAATAAAGGAGATGGCCAATTTTTTAAATTGATTTTTTAAACAGAAACTTGCATACACCTAATGCATAAAGCACAGGAGGATTGTAATGGTGGAAAATCCTCTCATCAGGTGAGTCCAGATCTTTCATGCCTAAAGATTTTGTAACTCTTTCAGCACTTTTAAATGAAGATGTTGATTGACAACTGTGCTAAGAATTTGTAGTAAACTGTATCTTTACAATCAAAGAAATACACAAGCATGGTTATGCATTCTTTTATTTTTCACTTCAGGTGAATTCTTTATTTTTCAGCTACATAGGGTCAGGCATTTTGATTCTGAGTTGTATTGAAGAAAACATCACATTTCATTATTGGTAATGACCCTGTTGTATGGTATGGTAATAGCCCATTCCTCCACATGAATCTGGGGAAGGCGTATAATCTTCACAGGCAAGGAAGAAGAATAATGACCCTGTTAAACATATCTGCATTATACCAAAGATCAGATGAAACATGAAGCTAGTGTTGTTTCAGCTGATCAGTTAAGGCATCATCTTTGAGGAAATTTTTCTCATTCCCAAATCCTCTGTTGGAATTTACTGCATTGTTTCACCGCCCATATTCAGGTCTTCTGCTATCACATACACACATAATCTTTGATCTGAGCTCCACATTTGCATCTACTCTTTGTGTTTTATGGCTGCTGACTTCTTGCATCATCATCATCTCACCCTAACCTTTGAACTGTGCCAGTCAAATACACTCGATTTCTTCATAACATATTTTCACCATAATTCATTTTTAACAGCACTAATGTTTTACTAGCTTTTTTTCCAATCTTCACTTAAAACTTAATGTTAATCTACTGATTTCTTTCACTCATTTTCTGCCAACAGTATAGCAAACATATATAACTTCCTCTACTGCACAGCAATGAAGAACTCATTTAATCAGAGTCCTAAGAAAGGTTAAGTTGGAACATGTCCAAATGTGTTCAGGTACAAATATTCTCCTGATTACTCCAGCAATTTGTTACACTGTGTGTGTGTTAGGATAAGGAAGAAATAAGAAACGTTTATAAATTTAACATGTGTAGCTTTTATTTAAGCTTCATATTAAATTTATATACATTCCCTATTTATTCCTTATCCTATCATTCTGTTGGATTCTGATCTATATTTGATCTCAATTCACACACACACACACACATATATATATATATATATATATATATATATATATATATATGTGTGTGTGTGTGTATACATGCAAGATTGGTAATGAGAAAAAATGTTTTATTCTGTAAAGATTGCAAAACACAATGAGGATATTTTTTTTTATTTAAATAAATTTATACTTACTCTTTGGCACCTTTGATATTATCAACAACGCCACTGAAGTATGAAAGCAAAATAAAATTGAATTAGTTAAAAGGAATTTCAGTTGAAATTTTTCAAAAGGCAAAGATGAAACATTTTTACAGCAAGTCAAGCACATTTTGTAGAATTATTTGATATTTTATCACAAAGTACTGGAAATGTAATCAAATTTAGTCTTAAATAAAATATTTTTATAAAGTACAAGTCTATAATTGTGTACTATCAGCAAAGACACTGTTCAAACTTCATTACTCTGATACACAAAACCACAATTATTCAAGACATTAACAATATTATATCCAACTGTATTCTGAAAATTAGCTTGTGTGTGCACATACATGTATAAGAATTTGCATAAGTACAAAATCAATTTACAAAAAAATTTTCTGCAAAATAATTTCCTAGCAAGTTTTAATTTGAAATAAGTATAATCCATAAGAATTTGTTTTCAATAAATGGACAAGTGTTCTTTTTTAAAAGTAAAAAAAAAAAACTTTAATGATTTATCTAATATTTAGTATTTTAAATAATTTTAATTAGAATTATTAAAAGGTATCTTTAATTTACCCTAAAAATTCATGTTTGCAAAAACTTAACAAATGCTCATCAGATGATAGCAAAAAGTAGATGTAGAAAAATCATGTTTATATATATATATATATATATATATATATATATATATGATTATTATTAACAAACAAAGACAAAGTTCCACATTTATATTTCAAATGATTTTTATTGAATATTAAGCTTGTAAACATTTTTACAATATGCTGTCACATAACCATAATACAATTTCCCAAGTAATTATGATTTTGTTTTGTTTTTAAGGCTGACATTTTCATCAAACTGAAAATAGTTAAAAATTGGAGAGATTTATCACTAAAACTTTGAAAACTAATATCAAATTTAAATTCTGAGTCAACTTCAAAAATATATATTATGAACAATCAAAATCAAATTTTAGAATTTAAAACAACCACAAATTACATTGAAAATCACTTTTGAATAATGAGTGATAAACACAAATTTCACAAAGCATATAAGAGACAACAATTGGAGAATTAAATTTATATTGAGAATGCAAAAACATTGATAAGTGGTAAGGATGATTTTAATTTTTCTAGTGTATATTTTGTATAATATACATAAAATTGATGTTCATATTTATGTTGCTAGATAATGATAGAAAATAGATTATGGTTAAAAAGGTAAAAAAATACGAGCAAAAGGAGAACAGGTCAAATAGTAAAAGGATTGGGACCTGTTGACATTGAATCATTAACAGCATGCAGTAATAAAGTTGCTTTTCAGAGGTGCTAACAATTGGAAACCCAACATGCTAAGCCAAAGGGTTGATTGCTTTGAAAATTCCAGTGATCAATATCAGAATTTAGTCAAAAAGGGGTCATGAAAAGCATTCACTGAAAAATTATTCTGGTATTGAATGTAGGATGGATGCAAGCATAAGAGAATGGAGATATGCTTAAATAAGACTAACAATGGATATCAGATATCAAAATAAGAGGGAATATTTAATGATACATTTGAAAAGAGGATGAGTCAGTCATATTCTGCTAACTAAACAGGCAAGTTGTTTATCTAAGAAAAAGAATTATAGTCTCAGTTCATTAACATACAGTGATTCACTATAGATCTTCAGTGAATAAGTTATATAAGCTTATAATTAAGGACAACATTTCTATGGAGACATGCCAGGTTTAAAACTTGTGATTGAATTTTTTTTTTTTAATTCAAACATAAGATTATAGTAGATATATTGCTGCTATGCATTCCTGTGTCATCACAAAATATAAACAAATCAATGTACATAACAGTGCTTAATAAAATATTTGTCAGTTCCTTATGAAAAGATTAGGAAGGGAAAAGAATTAAATCACAAATTTAGCTCATTAAGCAAGAAGCCTAGAAGTTGCTGCCTTCACACAAACCTCATAATTAAGGCAGTCAATTTGTGCAGATCACATAAGATTCCATTGTTAAATCTTAATTTGAAATGGTACAATTTTTTATTTTAATAAACAAAGAATACTAAATAACCACTTGGTAAAACAGTGAAAATCATTTATGCTGATGAATTGTACTGGTTTATTGATGACTAGTATTCAAAGGTCAGCAATTTTGGTTAATGATGAAAACAGAAATCTGGAAACTATTACTACAAATTTAGTTATTTTACATTTTAATTAGGATCTTTTTCTTCTATGTGCTATGTCTCTGAAGGGTATGGGCAAACATAGCTCTCCACAACCTCTTTTCCTTTGTAGGTCTTAGCAATATTTCTTCTGTCATCTATTTACACATGCTTGTTAGGTAATTTCACCCTGCTCCTCTTGCCTTCTATGTCCTGTGAGTGTCAAATTTTCCAAGCCTTCTTTCTTCATTATGTGTTTTAAAATTTTCAACCGTTTTCTTTCAGATTCTATGTATAATTGTCTTTTTTGTTTCTATTTTTCTTAAAACTTCCTTGGCGCTTAATTGTGCCATCCATGGTATTCTCCGCATCCTTCTGTAGAACCACCTTAATTCTTCTCTTCATATGTGAGGAAAATTATTGGCATGAAGTTGGACTGATATTACATAGCAGTTCAGCACTCTTTATTTCTAACAAATATTTTCTTGTTTCTTAATACTTTTAGTTTTTGGGAGGCATCTTTGATTTTATGATTAAGATCAACTGGCATAATCAATTTGAAGTGGAATAAACTAGTTTTTGAATTATAAGTAGTGAGATTTGCAAAGAATTAAGAATAAATCATTTAAGCTATTATTTAATTAAGAAAACAATGACAAAGATTTACTTGGCTTAGGTTTGGTGATTTTATAATTGTATTAATATACAGATATCAGTTGATATAAAAATATGTTCATTTTCAGGTCTTCAAGGGATTTAAGAATGAAAAGCTGAAATAATTGTAAAAATAATGGATGTAATCAGTAACAGATATAAGACATTTTACATATAAATGTCATACTTCAGAAAGTTAAGGACATTTGAACAAATCATAAAACTGTATCAGATGAAAACTAAAATGCAATTCTCACTAAAATAGTCCTGGTACCAACAGCAGTAATGAGGAGATATAATAAGTAACTAAAGTTATTGATCTCATAAATGTTTAAATGTAGAATATTATCCTAAGTGGGAAAAATTTATTTAACTTCAATCATTCTTGTAGGCTAAACAAAAACCCAAATAGACATTAAAAATCAGAGCAAACAAAGTTATAACATCTATAACTTATCTGACTTTCCTAAAGTAAATAAATATATACTATCCAAATAAGTATATTAAATAATTAACTTCTTGATGCAACAGAAACAAAGAGAAACTGTAATTATCCATTGTTTACAATGTAAATTATTTTGACCCTAACATGAATGTAGGTATTTACAAAGAAAAAAAAAGAAAAAAATAGAAAAAGGAGTGTTTCATAATTTAGTTGTATCATATAAAACAGTCATTATAGTGAAATGTGTGGTGAACACATCACATATGCCTTTGAAAACAAGTTCAATTCTTGCTGAGTATTCTCACCAGAATATGGCCTTGTTCACGAAGCTTAGTAAATATCTGACAAATAATATACAAGTATTAATACAATAATGGCAAAATGTTTGAAAATGCAAATAAATAAAATTATATTTTATACTAACCATAGCATAAAGAGAATACTGTCTCGATATTTAGTACTTTTCCATTTTTTTTGGATAATATATGTCATGGTATTAAAAGTTTTAATCTGAGGGATGATTATTAACAATCATCTAAATTTTTCTTTAAAAAAATTACTGTAAAATTAAGTAAGTACTGTTATTTGCCAGTTTATAAGATGCAAAGTCTACAAGGTTTTTTTTTTCAGTTGAGGTGAAGGACAATCACAGCTAACCATTTTGTGGTATAATAGGCAGATCCCAAGTCATAATCCTGTGTAATATTTGCTTGGGTCTTTCTCTCTCTCTCTCACTATATATATATATATATATATATATATATATATATATATAAAATGTCAGTAAATATGGTATATACAGTCTTGAGCAAATGTTTTAGGCACAGTACCAGTATATTCAAAATTATTTGACTTAATATTGTTATTCTTGGTTTAATCCAAAAATTAAAAAGATAACAACTCAAAGACATCATCTACATTTTTGTCTATATAGCTTAAATATTTAATATGTGATAGAGATTTTAATGACACCTACAAATGTTTTAGCAAGCAAACGTTTTAGACACTTCGATGTAACTTAATAAAATGAGAATTAATTTAATTGTTTAGAAATAAATGAAATTCACCTTTTATTGCCGAATGCCAATTTCAAGTGGAAAAAAAGTGCTTAAAATTTTTTGGCTCTTTTAGAGCAGGGTAAATTTAAGATAGAAATTGCCAATCCCATTGTAGCATGAAATAAACTAATAGATGGTATTCTAAAGAGGAAAGTTTTTCAGATGGACCAAAATCTGGTTTTGCAAATGCAAATTATCTAAACAAATCAAAGAAACTTTCCAGACAATCAAATTCGAAATTACTTTAATTTGACATATATTATGGGTGGAGACCTTATCAAATATGGTCTAAAACAAAATAATTTATTGGGATGAATTTCCTCTAAGAAAATTTACCTTGGGGTGAAATAAAAATAGAAAAAAAAAAAAAGTATCCTGCCAACAATGAATGGCTAAACACTGGAAAGAAAGGTTATTTTCTTAGACAAATGTTGAACTGAACCTTTTTCCAAACATGAGACATTAATAAGTTCACCAATTGATGATTCTAAAAAATATTCTGAAACAAAGTATAAAACTGAGCATTATGATTATATAGAAAAAGTGTAGTAATCATTTTATACAACAAAAATGTAAATTCAAAAGAACATCTGCAGATAAAGACATAGCCCAAATATATGAAAATATATATTTCAACAGGACTGTATGGGCTGTTATACTTTAAATCCAGTCATAAATTATTTAAAGCAAAAGGCAATATACA